TACAGCAAGAAAGAAACTGGGAGTTTATGATGTACATACGATGTTACATCGGTAATGGTAAGATAACTAAATAGTAAGCCATAAAATGTTTGACCGAACAAACTACAGTAATCTGACATGTCTCCAGATTAATGTAGATACCATCTTATTTTCTAACAGGCAATTTGACTCGTTCCTTGATACAACCCACACTGTGATTGGCGTGACATGTGCACATGCATAACTCCCTCACTCACCGATCACACAGCCCTTCCAACCCTCAAGAGGAATTTTTGCTCAAAAATACTCAAGTAAATAAGAGACCTTTTCGCATTTTATACGAGTCGTAAGTTTACCCTTTTTACACAACACAACACAACACAACACTGCTTCACCAAAAATAGAAAGAAAGAGAAAAAAAACCTCTCTGACATGTTGAAAGTCTGATTTAATTAAATTGCGTTTTAACTTGGTGCCACACAGTCTTCATAGAACATTTGAGCAGTTTTCATACTTTTCACCATTAAAAATATCGGACTGAAATGAATGTCATCAAATAAAACTATTAAACTGCTACTGCAGAGAAGTAAAAACTGTCCAGAAATGAAAGCTTCTTTTTTGTTTAATATCCTGGAAACAATAGGCGATAACTTATCAGCTCTAATTGAATTTACTCCCACGTAAAAAACAAAAGTGTTAAGTTACCATTTGTAACTGAAGATAGCAAACATCTCGTGGGAACATTAGTGGTGACGATTCGTCAGCTCTAATTGGATTTACTCCCTTGTGAAAAACAAGAGTGTCGCCTTACCCTTTGTAACTAAAAAATAACAACACCTCGTTATATTTGCATGTAACAAGAACAAAACAATTGTTACCAGTACACTTACTATTGTAAACGTTAGAAATCTTTCAAATCTAAATAGTCTCATCTCCTCTAAAACATGTCCTAAGAACTGAAAGCGACGATTCGTGACCTCTAATTGAATTTACTCCTTGTGAAAAACAAAGGATCAAGTTACCTTTGTAACGAAATATGAAAATATCTCGTTGCATTTGCATACTTCTTACTCACGAACTGTTTCAAACCTCAAGGCTCGTCTCGTTCATAACTAAAATCCTCAGCCTAACCCACAGAAAATGTTGACGTAAACCCAATATATGAATACTTCTTCCTATTTTATAGAGGAATAAATATGGTCGTTCTGAACTCTATTGGGATCAAATCTTCTCACCTATCATTTACCTTACCATAAGAAATTTGATTGGCTGTTTATAGTAGATCCAATCTCATTGGTGTGACATACATACATCTCTCACTGGCTCACTCACTCAATCACTCACTCATTCACACATCCATTGACCTGTCCACAACATACCTGATGCACCAACTAAGAGGTTTTTTTTTTTTTACAAAAAAATAACTCAAAAATGAGGGCAAATAGTCACTAATTAATTAGCAGACATTCTGAAGCCAAAAAAATCATGATTATAATAACTTTCATTTGAAGAATATGTGCATTAGCTGCACGTGATTGTATTTTAATTATCAGTAGCTAGACAATAATGGGAGATGCAAGAAAACCAACAGATTTTTAATGGTGTTACACTGCATATTTGCGTTCGACGAAGTGGAACGCAAACCTAATTTTGACCTGTGGTGTTTCAGAGTTGGTCTCCCTGTGCACGGTTATAGGCTGAAAAAACCACATTCCTGTAAGGACACCAAAATGGCCCTGGCGCTTGATTTTTGGAGGGGCATGTCACGGCCAGTAAACTGGTACCGTTTAATGCTAAGATGTGATAAAACGTGGTGAACATGTGAGTGTTTGAGCAGGCTATGTGAGCTCATCTTTGCGATGGATCTTTCTTTGACTTCTTTCCATTCAGTCGCCGTACGCTTCGCTATTATGTGCTATCAGCGTTAGATTTTGGCGAATTTAAACGCTTCGATGGTAGCATTTATCGAAATCTGAGGGAATTGTCCTTGTTTATTAACACGACTTGGCTTTGGGATGATAACCATGGGAACAGCTACATTTTGATTGCATTTGTTGATTAGTTCCAGTCGCGACAGATAGCTCAGTCTTTATCCGGTCGAAATTTTATTGTTTGGAATGGGTGGAAAAGTACTGCGAAGGCAAGATCCATAAGACTACTTTATTCATCAGGTGAAATACTTGAATTAGTTGCACGGAGTTTGTTTACGATAAACGACCACGCAAAACAAGCACACGATTGCACATGCTAGCTTTGAATAATGTACGTAATTTAAATATTCTATGAAACTTGAGAGTCTACAGAAACTGGTAGCATCACGCAATGTATCAACAAATCGTGACCTCTTCACTAGCATGGACTTTGACATATTTGACTCTAAAACCTCGGTTACTGCTGAAAAATGTTGATTTTAGCAATATACAAAGTTTGAAAGTCAGCTAGTGAAATGATTTATTTACGGTATATATATATTAAAGTGAGAGTGTCGAATGCACTCTCATAAGCTCTGATTACTACTAGTTTAGTAAGACTCGATCCACTTTTTGCTCACATTTTGAAGCTGGACCTTTTCCATTCTAAAATCAGGAATTATTTTATAGTCCAGTCATGGCTGTAATCGAAAGGCTGACATTAATTAAATTGTAGGGAAGCCATTAGCACTAATGTCTATGTTGTAGGTTGAAATGAAATTCAGGTTAAAAGGATTTTAACCTAGTTTTATTCTTAATAATTTATTTCCTTTGTCTTCTAACCCCAATTATTCAATGGTCCACGAGTAATTAGGGTTAACAGACAAAGGAATTATTATAAATATTTTCATTTTCACCTGAATTTACTTTTTGACCTACAATATCTACATACATGTACATGTGTGAACCTAGTACACTGATTGTTTTAATTCGCTCCAAGGGAATAACTTATTTTAGAGTGACTTGGTTACCTATTTTGTCTCTGTATTCAATGAGTTTTGTTTGTATGTACTTTGTTTGTAGGGAAATCTCTAAGTGCTCCTGTTTGTTACGATGTCAGCACCTGAAAATAACAGGGATAGCAGTTCAAACCAGGAATCCCAGTCCAAGACCCAAGGTATTTATTAGAACAATAGATTGCATCTTGAACTCAGAGCAAGACAGTCAGCTGAACATCTTGATTGCTTTTTTTAATACTTGATAAAAATAATATTAATTGTTATTATTAATAATAAAGGACTGTGCTTCCTAATATTTTTTTAGTGTGCACCCGTTCTGCACACCATACAATTCAAGGCATTATTACATGTACATGCCACATGCATGCTGGGATTAAAACTGCAGTGACACAATCAACTACCAGCTACCAAGTGCATGACTAAAATGGAAGTAACATTTTCATACTGTGACCAAATCAAGTTTAATGAACGTGTACTGAAACTAGGGATGCCAGAATAGCAGCATATTGCTAACCACTTACTGTTGACGGCTTCCGACTGTAAACATGTACATGCAAAACATGCAAAACAAGTGCAAGAGACTCATTTGTTTGACTTACTGTGGAGGTGAAAAGTAAAAAATGTAAAGGGCAACAAAAAAAATTATGAAGAAAGATAAATTAAAACAGCATTACTTGTTGAACTTTGAAAAACAGGCGGTTACCCCTACATTTTATGTTTTGAAATGATTAAGTGGCAACCCTATTTAACATGTGATTAGTTTCTGGTTGTGAGAAATTAAACTAAGGCTATTTAGACTGTATTTTGGCTAAACCAGAGGAGAGCTGTCAGGGACACTAAAAGCACTGTTGTGACAATTTGGTTTATTAAAAACATACCAGAAGTCGTTTTCATGTTAACTACCATTTACCACGTAGTTAAAGATCTTTATAAATGTGTTTGCCTTTCTTTATGTAAAGGCAACTTCTAAGGAAATCCGTGAAGAATTATCTTTTCTGTCTTTTTCGGAAAAATGCTGACTTCAGCATTTTTGTTTGAGATTCAAGGGTAATTGTCTCAGAAAAATGCGTCGTTACCACCAGTTTTCTTTGTGGATTCCAATAGCCCTTGCTAGGATCTTCTTTTTCCACTTGGTCCTAATATGGGCGAGAAAGACCTTTAAAGATGATTTCCAGTCCGTACTGCTCACTCTCAAGAATTTGTTTGAGTTTTGTTTTGATTCATGTACTGTAAGACGTCACAAAATTGTAACACTTTGCAACTACTCACTTACATGAAGTACATGTAAATTTAAAGTTTCATGTCAACCGCCATTATGGATGTGAAGTGTTATGCCTTGTTCTGTGTGAGATCACTTGATGAAACAACTTCTCAGCTGTAAAATCAAAGAAACTGTTGGAAAAAGAATTTTAAATGCCTCGAAGATAAGGTAAATGTACTGTAAGCAGTTCATAACAAATTAAATTGATTTGGAATCCATCAAGTGAGAGTCACAAACACTGGGGTGCCGAGACTGAGGAATACCGAATTGGAAATCATCTAAAGTTAATAATTTTGTATCATAATATGAAATATGGAAATCCACCAGTTTTTACTTTCACTTCTTACATCAGGTCTGAAAAAGGAAAAAAAAAATGGTTTGGGAAAAGGATCAAACAAGTGGAAAGTGTAATTTTGTGTACAAAGATTTATTTTATGAACCTGAAGTTTGTTTGACACATGGTAATGTAAAAAAAAAATGTAGATCTTACTTGTAGTGGTCATGCACTTGCAGTAGCTATACAAGCCTTAACTTAGCTAGTTTACAGGCATGCCACTGAAACAAAGGAAACAAATGTTTCAAATAAATGTAACATAGTTAAAAATCCCAAGTGGCAGGAGGCAGACCAGTTGGCTATTTACAAAGCGTGCCCAATGATTTGAACTTGGGACTACCGAGAAACAAATCCCGCTAGTGGCAGGGTGGAGGCCTTGAACCCGGGACCTCCTGATTACAACGCGGGCACCATAAACCACTCGGCCACGCTGCCTCCTAAAATGGTATGATGGTATTGATCAGCATTAGATGATGTGAATAAATTTCATGTTTCACTAAAAGGATAGATGATGTTTTTATCACTTGGATTATAATGTGGTAAAATTGCATCATTGGTTAACTGCAAGCCTCTCCTCTTTCAGATACAGATGCTTTTAAAAAAGGCAAACCCAGTTACCTTGAACTAGATGATTTGGCAGGACAGATTGGTAAAGTGTGGAAGAGACTGGGAATTCGCCTTGGCATTCCTGATGATGTATTGGACGATATAACTGCTAATGCAGAAGATAAACCACTTGAGATGTTACTTTGCTGGACAAATACAACAACTTCGGCTACACCTTATCATGACCTCTACAATGCCTTGTGTCATAGTAGAGTTGGGTTGAATAACTTGGCCAAAGAATTTTGTTGTAAGGAAACTACATGATTCACTTTCTTACAGTACAATGTCTTGAACCAGGGCAGTCAGTAATTTGTGAAGTAGGCAGACCCCAACCCCAGCTACTTTTTTCATTTCCCCGCCTACTTGAAAAATAAGTGACAGCCCTGAATTAAGGAAGATATTTCATTCTTTAAATCATATATTTAAGTAAAAACGTATTGTGGCAAACATATCAAGGTTAAAAGAAGTGTCATTGTGAGAAAACACTAAATGATGCAAATCAAGGTGTTTTGGTTACTGTTATGAAATCATCCCCATAGGTACAGATTTAGCTAATGAGGGGCCCTAAAGGTAACGTTATTTCCTCTAGGAGTTCTGGGAGCACCCCCTGTGAAATTGTGAAAATCTAAACAAGCTCACACAGGATTGCTATGCACTCTAGAGGCTTAGAGACAAAATTTAATGTCAGTTTTAGGTACTTATCCAGTGCAAAAACATGAACAAACTTTGCTCACCTACAGCTTGTAGGTTGATCTTTTAACCCTTTTTACATGAAGACCAAGTGGCAAGTGGTAGAAAGTAAACATAAATAAAAAAAATAAAAATAAACTTTGCGAATGGCCACCTGCATTTTCAAGTCCCAAAATAGTATAAATTAGGTTGAACTTCTATTGAACTAACCAAACAATTTGGAAACAAAATTCTGACAATATTGCCACAAAAAGTAGAACAGAGAAACTAAAAACTGTTTGGGGGTAGAGCTCTATTGTAAGTTGAATATTTGATTTTAAAAAATCATATTGTATTGTGTTTGTTTTAATTAAATCAGTTAAACTTTCCAAAAAAACAGAACTTCACTAATAAGAGTTATTTCTCTGATACAATATCTACTGTTTTTTGTAGCTATCCATAATTAAAGAACCACTACAGTGATGTCGTGTTATTTCTATAAAGTGTAGTTCACTCTTGTGTATCATTTTTACCAGCACAGTCAAATTTGACAATGTGTTTTCCTTGCAGACATACCAGCTGGGAAGAGAGAGTTGCCACGTTCAAGTAACTATCCAGATGCTAAACAACCTAGGTTTGCAGGTACTGTTGTCAGCGATAATTGTAGTTGTATGGCGTGCTGAAGCCCATTGTCATGCTGTGATGCTGTTCTTTGTGATGGAATTTAACTTCAGCTTTGCGATGAAAGTCAATTGGAATTCTCAGTCCTGACTGACACTTTCTCCATGTACATGTAAATATTGTTATCGTTAACTCCATTTCAAGAGAATTTGTTTAAGAAGTCAGGCTTAAATCTCATCTCCTCTTCCCCCTATCTAACCAGGCTGAAATTCTCCATGTTTTCACTCCTTAGTATCAGCTAAAAACTTATATGCTCTTTAAACATGAAACTGTCCCTTGCACCCTTGAAAGCAGGCTTTGAAATATTCATTTTGGTACATTTCGTATCTCAAAAGTCAACAGAAAAAAATTAACCAATCAAACAGTTGGATTAAAAGTTGCTGAGGCTCATTAACCCATTGACTCCTAACCAATCAAACTAGCTTTGAGGGAGAATGGATTTTGTGTCACTTGAGACACCATCAGCTTTGGCATGATGATTGTATTCTGGGTAATTTCTTAATTATCTGTTGTTGTTTTTCAGTTGTTTATTCGTCTTTAATGTCAAAAGAATTATATTATATTACATTTTTATATATTTTTTTCAGTTTAGCCTAAAACAAAGCACAGGGTTTTCTTTTTTTACCGCCGGTATAGTAAAAACAAAGCTTGTGGCTTAGGAGTGTCATGGCCCTTGTGTACAAAATGGCATGCTTAATTGCTGGTGTGCTCGTGAAATGCATTGTGGGCTATGGCACTCCAAGGCCAAATGGTATATTCTTGTTTGTTTGTCTGTTTGTCTGCTTTTTGTTTGTTTTTGTTATACCATATACTTTTATTTTAGGTTAAATTGAAATACCGTAAATCCTCGAATTAGCGTCTCCCCCCCCCC